CTCTGTTTCACTGCCTTCCTTTTCAGAGGGGCAATGGTATAAGTGTATTACGCAGGAAGGCTGCAGTACTATCAACAAGATTATCGATTTGTGTTGGAGTAAAGTTAAGGTGGCCTCCTTCCACTGTGTTGGCAAACGGCACTGAAGTAGATAAAGATGGAATTATTTCCTTAAACTTGGTAACAGCATTGCCAGATAGACATCTGCTGTAGTGGAATTGTTTCCCACATAGAGTATAATCCATTAATGGAAATTCAAAAGTTATTAGAAAATGGTTAGACAGAAGAGGGTTATGGGGAAAAACTATTAAGTGTTCAGTTTCGATGCCATATGTCAGAACAAGATCAAGAGTGTGATTAAAACAGTGAGTGGGTTTATTTAGTTTGAGAGAAGCCAACTGAGTCTAATAATGAACAGAATGCATTGTTGAGGCTGTCATTGTCGGCATCTACATGAATATTAAAGTCGCCTACTATGATTATTTTATCTGTACTAAGCACTAAATCAGACAGAAAGTCTGAGAATTCACTTAAAAACTCTGAATAAGGAGCAGGTGGACGGTATACAATAACAAATAGAACAGGCTTTTGAGTTTTCCAGTTTGGGTGTGAGAGACTCAGGGTGAGACTTTCAAATGAGTTATAACTATGTTTAGGTCTAGGGTTGGTTAATAGGCTTGAGTCAAAGATTGCTGCCACACCACCATCTCGGCCTGTGTTTTGAGGGATGTGACAGTTACTGTGCCTAGGTGGAGTGGATTCATTTAGGCTGACATATTCTTCCTGCTGTAACCATGTTTCAGTAAGACACAGTAAGTCAATGTGATGTTCACTTATCAAATCATTCACTAACAGAGATTTAGATGAGAGAGATCTGATATTTAATAGTCCACATTTGATTGTCCTATTACTTTCTACTATAAGAGGAGTCATCTTAATTTTAATTAGGTTCTTATGAATAACTCCTCTGGAGTTGATTCTTGATTTATATAATTTAGGTGGGCGGGGGGCAGACACAGTCTATTTCCCTTCCTCTCCTTCCCTCATGCCTTTCCCTTCAACACCAGGCTCGTCTAGACCAGAGCAAAGTCGCCATAGAAACCCTGGAGAAGCGGCTGGAGGAGGAGAAGCAGAAAGCTCAGAGCGCTGAGAGTCAGAGAGGAGCAGGGACAGGTAACGAGCACCTGGGCTTTTGGGGTGGGGACACGAAAACCAAAATCCATCATGTGTCTGTCATTGTTTTACTGCAGTGCGTTGTAAAGGTCTGTGGCTCAGCTATTCAGGCCTCGTTACAGACATTTTTGTGATCTTATAACCCCTCTCAGTTTTTTGTTTGAGTGTCTGATGCACCAAAGTCTCTCAGCTGCACAAAACTGCTGTACATCACTGGTTCCTGATCAGCTGATCCCCCTTTCCTCTCTGTTTGTGGACAAGTTTAAAAAGAAGAGTTTCTTACGTCCAGAAAGCAGCAGAAGAAAACAGGACACATTTAATAAGGTGCCACCGTACTGGCTGTACTGTACACCGTAGTGAAGAACTTGTGTTCCTGCCGGTTCAGTGGTCATTGCTGGTTACAGGGGGCACTGTGAACATGGTAACATGTTAGATCCCAAGACTGTGGAGTTGGTAGAAATAACAGGTTAGGTGTTAGGGTCAGACTGAGGGGACATACAGACCTGCTCAGTGCAGTTAGCAGTTTTGTTGTGATTAGCTTTATACCAGTCAAACCAGGTTCTAACTTGATTTGATTTGCTGACCTTAGCTAGTGGAGTGAACACTCAGTCTTTTCACCTGACTGGAAATTCCCCGAGACATGTTGTACATGTTAGACTCGCCCCCGCGGGTCTGCTCCGGCTCTGCTATCAGCAGAAGAGCGAGTGGTGTCTTGTAAGAGCCCTCATGTCCATCGCTCGTATGGCCTGTGCACTTTAAAGAGCTATTACCACCTGCACTAAGACCAAGCCTGGACACTGACATTTCCAGGACTACTTTGTGATGTTCTGTAAAATCCTATTTAAAATTTGTTCAAATGAACAAGTTGAAGACGACAGCTGGTGTGGATGAGCTGGTCCGATGGCGGTGACTCTGGTGGCCTGTGTTACTGCAACACCGAAGCATGTTCA